TGTCAACGTTGCGACGGAGCCAATCTCGCCTCGGTAGCCGGCTGAATGGGAGTCGTATAGCACGAGATCACGAGGCATGTGTCGGTTCCAAGAGTTTGCGGCGATGGTAATGGTGTTTTGATAAAGTCTTGTTTGATGGTGTGCGGAGGACGGTTGAAGTCTCGGACCGGTCAGCGTTGTGTCGGCTTACGGGATTTTCTTTTCGGCAAAGATTGTTGAGTTTGGGCAGGGCCAAGTTTGTCTGGAGGAAACGTTTCAATGGAGAAGACCAGGTGGCGATGGCCTCATTATTTTGAATAACCGGGATTACCTCAGCCAACACATCACGCACCCCTCATTAATCCGAGAATGAACACGTCCCGTCTCAGCCAGCGACCTCATCAGATTCGCCACGACACTGCTCTCAGGCCTGTTTCTCCTTGCCATCCGCAGCGACAGGTATGCACAAGATGAACATCAAACAACCACCCTCGCTCCGGAAAGGCCCGTGTTCCATACCGGGCTTGCGGTAGGCATAGGCGCCCTCGGTCCAGCCCTCGCCCAGCCGGACGTCGAAGAGGTCGCCCTGCGCGAGGTAGATCTCCTCGACGTAGTCGTGGACGAAGACGGGCTGGCGGTTGGCGGCGCCGGGGCGCCAGCGCTGGAGGGTCGTGCGCCGGCCGGTGGCCGGGTCGGCGTTGAGGAGCATCTCGTCGACGCCGGGTTCTAGCTCGGTCCAGGTGCGGCCGGGGGCGGAGGCTGCGGTGTGGAATTCGAATTGTTCCATTGCGCGGCTGTGTGTGTGTGTGTGTGACGGGTTTGTTGTTCCCGGCGGGACCGTGGGTTTTGTTTGTAAGTTTGGTGCGTGTTGAGATGAGTTTGACGAGGTCGGTTAGGCGAGAGCTTGTTTGTTAGTTGAGTTCATTCATGCCTTTGAATGGCCTTTGAGCGTTTAATGCATTGTTTCTCTTGGACGGTTCTCGTCATTCTGGCTTGGCCGTCCACTTGAATGAGGTTGATTTCTAAGCCTGATATGTCAGTGTAAGAGGACGTCATAGGCAATGCTGATGGTCGAAAGTCCTTGGAAATCCAAGCCTTGGACTGATGGCCGAAAGACCAAAGTCCCAGGTGGGAAATCCTTCAATTGCGACGAGGCAAAGGCTAGACTCGGCAGGTCAAAAGGAATATGAGTGGGAGGTTAGCTTGCTTTTGCGGGTTAGACCTGCCGAGCGTAGCCCCGGGGAAAAAGGAGCGTCAGTGTGGAGCTCCCTTCCCAGTCCAGCTGAAGTGTGCTTAAGTGGGCTGCAGCAGCTACCCGTACCTGGGCCCACGGGTGCTTCCAGCGACGTTTCCCCCCAGCGGGGGCCTTGCTGGTGGAGGACGTCGGGGGGCATCCCAAGCTGCCAGGACCGCCCCGTGGCCATATCGTGATCCGTGGAATAGGTGCGGCGACACATCTCCTGCACCTTCCCTTCAGGTTCATTGTCGCCACGCGTCTTCTCTCCTTTATTTTCCAATGCTCATTTCCTCCATTATCCTCCCTTTCCATTCTCAGCTCTCCGACGCAGGCGCCCGACAGCCTTTGTAACGGAGCTACAGACAGCTGCAAAACGTGTTTCTTGTGTTTCCCATTGGATTTCTTTGTTCCGTTGTACCCGACCTAGGTCACCCACGTTGACTGGTCCTTTCCCTTGCTTCATTCCATCGTTCCAACCTTGTGTCATGTCAACCATTTGAGACTGCGACCCCCAGATCCATTCCCGACGAGCGAGACAATCGCGCGCGACCTGCCGAAGCCGAAGAACCGCGCGCCCTTATTCTATCCACCCACACACACGGCGCGCATAGTACATACACCCGCATACGCAAGCCTGCCCACACACGCTTGTCAGGCTTCTGCGACCATTCCATTCCGGGGTCCCGAAAAAAAAAAAGGGAGCAGCCAGCCCAGAGTTGCAGGGGAATGGCACGCGGGCGCACCACGGCATGATGGCTCCGCCTTACAGCAACGGGTACGCCTACAAGGGCAAAGGTCCTTCGGCTTTGCTCTTCCAACACAGTGGCGGTAGCTTCCGCGACCGCGCCAGACCTGTCCTCAACGCCGCTGCCCGACTATCGCAAAGACTCTGGCATTTTTGGCAAACCCGCGGACGACGCATGACCATCAACATGCTGTACCAGGCCGGCTGGCAGCTGCGCCAGAACCTCACCGCGCGCCGCCTCCTGAGCTTCCCCCACCTTCTGGTGTGTCTGTGGATGCTCATCCTGCTTTGGGGCGAGCGCTGGGTGTTCAGCAGTCGGGTCGCCGACTGCAGATGGAGCAATTGGGAGAGCTGGGTAAGCTGAGCGTCTCCGTGCTCGGAGGATGCTGTACTGACAATGGACAGCCCGCAGGAGCGAACCCTCACCACCTCATTTTCGTTGCCGACCCCCAAATTACCGACCCTCATTCATACCCAGGAAGGCCGTGGCCTCTATCAGAGCTAACCGTACTCATTACCGATAACTACCTTCGGAGGGGCTTCACGCAGCTCCAATCCCAATTGATACCCGATTCGCTCTTCTTTTTGGGCGATTTGTTCGATGGCGGGCGAGAGTGGAAGACGGGCAAAGGCGACTGGGCAGACCCTGAATGGGCAGCTGCGCGACGACCCAAGAGCGAGCGGCCACACGCCAAGGAGTGGAACGAACATTACGGCGACAAGTACTGGTTGAGCGAGTACGAACGGTTCGGCGACATATTCTTTAGCGATTGGGCGAGCCTCGGCGGCACGAAGGCTGGGAACTGGCAGAGAGGGCGCAAGCTGGTTGCAAGCTTGCCGGGCAACCACGACCTTGGCTACGGCGATCAGGTCAAGGTATCGGTCAGAGAGCGCTTCGCATCATTCTTTGGAGACGTCAATCGCGTGGATGTGATTGGCAATCATTCCATTGTCTCCGTCGATACTCTCTCCTTGAGTGCTAGCTCATCAGTGCAAGCTGAGCGAGGCGATCTGAGACCAATCCATACGCCGGCGGATGTCTTTCTTAAGGACGTAAAGTTCACCAAGAGGAAGGCTGTAGAGAAGGAACTGCGCTTCTGGAGGGGCGACGTGGAGGGTCTTGGTTACAATCACTTGGTGGAAGATCTGGAAACGGCGGACGTCGAAAACGTCCCGACGATTGCGCCAGGCGAAGACGGTCCCGACTTTCCCACGATTCTTCTCACGCATGTGCCGTTGTACCGAGACCCGGGAACTCCCTGCGGACCGTACCGGGAGCACTGGCCTCCTGCTAAACCGCCAAGAGGTCAGAAAGGTCCCGTCATCCCAGACCACCGAAACGCAATCTCGGTTTCCGGCGGTTACCAATACCAGAATGTGCTGGACGAAGACGCCTCTGTCAATCTCGTGAAGAGCGTGGGCAACGTGGTTCATGTCTTTTCGGGTGACGATCACGACTATTGCGAGGTGGTTCATTCTCCCAAGAAAGAGAGCGTCCGCGAGATCACCGTGAAGAGCATGAGCATGGCGATGGGTGTTCCGACCCCCGGCTTCCTCATGGTCAGTCTGTATAACCCCGTCGATGCCAATGGCAAGCCTCTTCCCGGCGCTCCGGAAAAGACGCTGCAAACCCATCTTTGCTTGTTGCCGAACCAACTGGCTACTTACGCCAAGTACGTCGGCTTCATCTTCGTCAGCATCGTCGCCATCAGCATCCGATCGTTCCTAGTGCCCGTACTCAACCTGACGCCGTTCGCTCTGGAGGCAGAGCAATCAAACGGCGCCATCCTGCCCACTTTCAAGGAAAAGGTAGAGGACGAAGGAACTTACAACATGCGGTCGACCTCTGCATCGTCCGGAACCCGGTACCAAACCAACTCGTCGTCACGAACCAGAAGCGGATCGCTCATGAACGGCTCCGCCCCTCTCCCGCCACCCAAGACCAAGCAAAAGAAGCAGGGCTGGGGGCACCGCACGCCGAGAATCGAAATCTTCCAGGACGATTTCTACGGGGCCGGCAAGCCTCGTTTGACTTGGAAGGCGGCGTCGCAGCGGTCGAGGACGACGGTCGGACGCGTGGTCCGAGAGATTGGATTCTCGACGTGGAGAGTCACGTGGATGGTGGTCTTGTTTTGGTCATATCTTGCATATAAGGGATAGAGGTTCCGCATTCTCCAGCATGTATTATTACTATTCATCATCGTTTTTCGAAGACTCTGGCATCGAGCGGGTTTTGCATTGGCGGGCTGTTTGACTGAAAAACTGCTGGGTCGAGTCACTGGATACAAAAAAAGGTCCGTCGGCGTTGTCGTTTCCTTGTATTATAGCACACTTGTCAACGGGTCCAAAGGCTTTAACTTACAACAAGCCTTTGGTGAGTATGGTCTCTTGAAGTTACACATGACACATTCACACAGGCTGAAAGCATGGCCACCGCCAATATTTTGGACGAATATTACAGTAACCAGCACTCGTTCGATTCTCAAGCACCTTTGAAGTAGCAAAGACCAGTCCGAAATATCCATGGATCATATTCATATTCAGAGCAAGTCTGTTATAGCGCCTGCGAAGGTTTAAATAGCACTCGAGAAACATCTTCCAGATGGACGTGGACATTCAACCAAGTTGCTTACTTTTCCAAAAAGTCAAGTATCAAATCCTTGATTGAATCATCTTGAGGAAGCGAAATACCGCTATTACTTGATTTAGAAGGGTAAGTGAATCAGGTATAAAGCTTCTACATGACTCTGGTGCCTTCCAAGTGAATGAGTCCAATATTGGAAGGCGCAACCCGCTTTAGCAAAGACTGGACAAGGTAGTCGCACCTTCCCCTTCGAAGCGACTTCCGTCTTTCCTCAGATGAATGCTCACTACCTACCTACATACCTTAAGGTAGGTAGCAACTTCTTCGAGGCACTTCCACCCTGCCCCCGAAAATTCTGCCAGTCACCAACTGCACGTTGACAACCTGCTATAGACAACAAATTCTTCCTCGCTTCTGAACTTGGATGTGCAAACAATCGACGGATGATGGCAGAAATGCAGACACTTCCCGAACCTGCCAACGGCGATATCTTCGCCTTTGGTGGGAAGCTGACGATCGACAACGCCGCCGCCAATGTGTTCATCATCCACGACACGCGTCCGGGTGGCACGGCGTTGCTGCCATCCAGCCTCTCGGTCGGCTTCGTCTTGGAAAATGTATATCACATTGACGCAGCTCTCTTCTCTCGCTATTGCAGCACCCTGGTCGGCGGCACTCTCATCAAAGGCTTGGGTCTCCAAGCCGAGGGGTGCCATTTGGGCGACAGATCTATCGACACCGTCTACGATGATATTGTCTGCGTTGTGTCTGACCAGGCTGGCTCCAGCTGTTCGATTGGATCTGTAGCTGGGGATTTCGTCGCCGTTATCGATCCAGTTAACGACTGGAAGGACCCTGAGCTGTCTCCCAACCTCACCATCACTCATGTTGCTGGACAGTCCACCAAGGAGTCGCTCAGAGCAGAAGAAGGCAGCCTCGCCAGAGCCCTTTCGACCTGGTCCTCGATGAAGTTTGCTCCCAGTCAGCCTGGAGTTGGACACACACCAGCAATTGTAATGGGTACGGACCTCGGTGCTGACAAGAATACATTCATGCCTTCTCGGCCATTCAGTGGGTCTTTGCAGGCCAGTCCGAGGGAGAACGTCGAGGCACAACTCCTGAAAGCACTCTCCGAGCTAGATGAGGCCCGCCAAGAGCTTGCCTCTTGGAAGCAGCAAAGCCTGGGTCCCCATCATGAACTTGCTCTGCCAAAAGTGGAGATAAGTCACCCGGAGAATCTCGCTCTTACAGAGTCGGAAGACAAACAACTGCCAGCCACGGTACCGTTAGCGATGATCTGTGGTAACTGCGACAGACCTGGCCACGAGGTCCGCGATTGCATCGGACCAGTGGATAATCGTGGGTTTATCGATGCATGCCCCCTATGCAACACTCGAGCCCACGGATTCGACCAATGTCCAAAGGTGCCGTCTGGCCGCGGCAGCAAGAGTAGTAGAAAGTCGATTCGATTCGAGTATTTGGTCCTTCTACGCTCCAAAAAAGCCCCCATCAAATCTCACAGCTGCTGGATTGCCATCTGGGTGCACGCGGGGATGCCGTTTATCCCCCTTCCTCACACCAAACATTTCTCACTCAAGCTGAGCCAAGATCTTTCGAGCGCAGCGTACAACGCTCCCGATTGGCGAACTTACGAATACAACGGTCAAATCAGCATCCCATTCGACAAATTGGTTCAAGATCCCGACACGGTACTTCAAAAAGGACTGACTTGCCAGCTCGTGCCTGGGTCACAGTCTAGCCTAGACATTGCGCAAAGCCACTGCAGTATCAAGAACAAGATGCAAAGAACACAGATCAAGAATGAATCAGCGTATCCAGCTAAGCACGACCATGCTCAGCCCAAGAAGCAGCCGAAGCCGCAACGAAAGAAACAAGGCGCATCGAAGCAGTTGAAGAAAAGCAAGAAGAAGCAATACGCCCGACACTTACTATATGAAGAGGAGTCCAAGGACAAGATCAAGAGAGAATCGGGAGGTATTCCCAGTTTTGCCACAGGGGCCAACTGCACCATGTTGCAGCGGCCGCTTCCAACTCTCCCCGCCAGGGAACACGTTCCTTTTATCAAGCAAGAGCCTGTGGACTACTGAAGGAGTTAAACATGACTTCACGCATCAAGACTGGCGGATTTACTATGTGTCACGAGACCGTGCTGACAGCCGCTGTCGGTACGTACGGGATAATCAACGCTGGGAACGGACGACAGATTTTTACTTCTTTGCACAGCCATCGTCCAATGCTTGATTGCCGTTATACTCTCTAGGACTTGTATAGATAATTAATACAATGGCTTGCTGAGGTCGGAACTTCATTCAAGAGTTCAAAGTCTTATGGTGTTTCGTTGTGATCACAAGCGAGCTACGCTATGGGCCGTTACTTGTGCCTGCGGATATGTGTGTTTCAATAATCTTGGCAAGCTCCATAAAAGACACAGGACATCGGCGAAGATAGGTTTAGACGAACATAGCTTCTCAACTATGCCGCAATCAAGTAAACCCATCCACATCAGTATCCAAAGGCAGAAAAGCATGCGCTACACCAACCTCCGAGAACCATTGGCAACTGAACAACTCGGCACCGAGAGCCTGGGCTCGTATACACCACATTATATACTATGAGGAACACGACGTGCTCGTTTTCGTTCGGGTGTGAATGCGATTCGCCCCTCGTATCGCGGACCGGTGGCAGGGCCCGATAGCAGCGAGAACCCGGGAGGGTGGTCGACCGTCCCTGTGACGAAACGCGCGGCAGTTCAGGCAGAGAACCGCTGGATGGGCTGGCTTGCGGGTATAGTTTCCCATGGCGCACCCCTCACGACTTTGACTGCGGGAAGGTTCGTGCTACGGATTACCGTCTGATGTTGTGGAGGGCAGCAGAGCCTACAAATTCCCCGTCTTGGCTTTTTGCGTTGGCTAGATTGCTTGTTTAGTCGTCTTGTGGAGAAAATGTTCAGTCTGATTAGCGGGAGTGAGAGTCGTTGAAACGGGGTAACGCTGCTTGGGGTTGTCGTGTTCGGAACGACTGACAATGAGGGTTTCTGGGTGCGTAGAGCAAAGGAAGGAGGAGCTGGGGCATCGACGCGTGGGCCGCTTTGCCCCTGAAGCTAATGATGTGGGAAAAAGTATGAATACCACGAAGAGTCCAGAGGTTTACTTTGGAGAGGTTGCAATTGTATTGTGTCAGTACTCTCTATAGTGTTGGAATCAATCGAAACTGACACGACATGGCGGTGACCACTATGATGTTCCAGGCCTTCGGCCTCGTCCTTCTTGCTGTAAGTGTCCCCGCCGCTACCGTTCGAGATGCCTTCAGTGCAACATACCGGAACCTTTGTGACGAACACTCACGTAAACTAGGCCTCCATCTACACCGTCTCCTACGTCGTCTACAACATCTTCTTCCACCCGCTCCGCCACTTCCCCGGACCTCTCCTGATGCGCGCAACCCGCGCCGCGTACTGCTACAGACTCGTCCGCGGCACAATCTCCTTCGACATGCTCGACCTGCACCGCCGCTACGGCCCCGTCGTGCGCGTCGCCCCGGACGAGCTGGCCTTCTCAGACGCGGACGCGTGGAAGGTGATCTTCGGCCACAAGGTCGGGGCCAACGCGGGCGGCGTCGCCGGCACGTTTGAGAAGTCGGACACGTTCTACCGACCGATCCCGGGCTTGCCCCGGGACATCATCACGGCGCTGGGCCCGCAGCACGCTGCGTTGCGACGGCAGATGGCGCATGGGTTCAGCGACCGCGCGCTGAGGGAGCAGCAGCCTGTTATTATGAAGTATGTTGATCTGTTTATACAGCGGCTCAAAGAGCAGGCGGCGAGACAGTCGGCAGCTTCTATACATGAAGCCGCGCCCTTTGTGAGGAAGAGCGAGGAGGAGGAGCCGGTGAACCTGACGCTGTGGTATAATTACTGCACGTTCGACATTATCGGCGACCTCGCGTTCGGGGAGCCGTTTGGGTGTCTGGACAATTCGGACTACCACCCGTGGGTGCGGACGGTGTTCCAGATGGTACGGGTGGGCGTGGCGTTCCAGACGGCGAACCACTACTCGTGGCTGCGGCGTATTATCACGGCGGCGCTGTCGACGGAGGCGATGCACCGGCGGAGGGAGGAGCAGCGGGAGATGACGATGCAGAAGGTGCTGAGGCGGATCGAGCTGGGGAAGAGCGGGCCGAGGGCGGACTTGGTGGAGGGTTTGTTGAAGAAGAAGGACGAGTGGGTAAGGTTTCTTGATTTCTCGGCTTAGTTCTGGAAAACAAGTCGAGATCTTCGTCACTGACGAGCGTATAGAATATGTCGCTGGACGAGCTCGAGGCGAATAGCAGCATCCTCATCATCGCAGGATCCGAGACCACGGCAACGGTCTTGGCCGGGGTCACATACCTGCTGCTCAAGAACCCGGACAAGATGGCGAAGCTGGTGGAGGAGGTTCGGAAGATGTTTGCGTCCGAGGAGGAGATTGACCTCACGTCGGTGAACAGATTGACGTACATGCTAGCCTGCCTGGACGAGGCGCTGCGTATGTATCCGCCGGTCCCCACGGGGCTGCCGAGGGAAGTGCCCAAAGGCGGGGCAACGATTTGTGGGCAATACATCCCCGAGAATGTGAGTTATTGAAGACCGCTATGCGATCAAGAAGTGTGGTCGAGATGGAAGGAGGTGTAGTGCTGGATGTTTACTAACCAGCATATGCAGACCGTGGTTGCGATTCACCAGTGGGCCACGTACCACGACGAGAGAAACTTCAAGAATCCGTTCACGTTCCATCCGGAGCGCTTCTTGGGAGACCCGGAGTATGCGACGGACAAGAGGGAGGCGTTGCAGCCGTTCCATCTGGGACCTCGGAATTGCCTTGGACGAAAGTGAGTATCTCTATCCTTTTTTTTCTGCTGTTCCACGTGTCCTCAGCATTGCATGGTATCTTTCGGAGTGAAGGGACTAGCTAGAGGCTAACCATGACCAGCTTGGCCTACGTCGAGATGAGAATCATGCTGGCGAGGATGATTTGGAACTTCGACTTGGAGCTCGCCAACGACAGCCAGGATTGGATGGAGAGGCAGATGATCTATGTCTTGTGGGCCAAAGGGGCGCTCAACGTGTACTTGAAGCCTGTTGTGAGAAATTGAGAATTTTAGAGTTAGAACAGCGGACAAGAGGGAAAGGAGGGCTCAACCTTGCGCCCGGCCGTCTCGGCATCGCCGTGCCGGTGCCCATTCGGTGCGGAGACCCACCGCCCGATTATGGAGACACCACGCCGAGCACCCCTCGTCAGACAGCATCACAGGCAGAAAATCGGACATGACCATTGTTCGTAATCGTTGAAAATTCTTCATTCGTGCCCCCGTGTGGGGGATGTGGTATTCAATACGCTTCATCTCTACTGTGGCACTTCAAGCCTGCCCGTAAGACTCCAAAAACTCCGCTGAAGACTTTTTAAGCACTGCCGCCCTAAGCAAGACTGTCTGCTTCCGTTCCTTCCCTTATGTAGCGCGTATATACCCTTGAGGGAGAAAAGGCGCATTTTCTTCTTGAGTAAATCCCTTTTTTCCCCATCCATACCCAATAACTTTTGCATCAACCATTTTCCATATATGTTCCCATCACATCATCATTTCAAGCGTTGCTCGCCATTTCTCAGGCGAACAGCTTCTTCTCGTAAGACTCCATGTTCACGTTACCCTCCATCTGGGCACTGGCGGTGCGCAGCTCGAAACGGAGAATGCCGTTGTCAACAGACTCGCGGAGCTCCTTGAGAGACTGGATACCGCAGTCCTGCATGGAGTGCTTGAGACCGGCAGCCAGGTAGGGGATGAACTTGGAGATAGGTCTGCGGCGCGGTCAGCATAATTGTCAGTACAGCAAAGCGAAGAGGAAACGCACCCTCTGTGAGCAACGGAACCGGTGACACCCTGAGCAACAAGGACGCTGTCGCCCTCGGAGAAGTAGCGGGCAGTGCCAGCGTTGCTCTTTTGGCTGTCCTTGCCGCCGTTGCCGGCCTTCTTGTCCTGCATGGCGTCGATGGAACCCATACCACGGTAGGCCTTGACGAGCTTACCCTCGCGGGAGACGAAGGAGGTACCGGGAGACTCGGTGGTACCGGCCAGGAGACCGCCCATCATGACGGTGGAGGCACCAAGGGAGAGACCCTTGACGACGTGACCGACGTTCTGGACACCACCGTCGGCGATGCAGGGAACGCCGAAGCGAGCGGCGAAGCTGCTGACGGAGTGAACGGCAGCGGCCTGGGGGCGGCCGACGGCCATGACCTCCTGGGTAATGCAGGCAGAGCCAGAGCCCATACCGATACGGAGGCCGTCAACACCAGCCTCAATAAGGGTAGCGGCCTGCTCGCGGGTGACAACGTTTCCGCCAATGACGTCGACGCCGGGGAACTCGTTCTTGATCCACTTGATCATATCAACCTGGTACATGGAGTTACCCTGGGAGGAGTCGAGGATGACGACGTCGAGGCCGGCATCGACGAGGAGGCGGAGACGCTCCTTATCCTCGGGACGAGTGCCAATGGCGGCACCGCAGAGGAGCTGCTTGCTGTCGGGCAGCTTGGAGGCCAGGGGGAAGTGCTGGTTCTTGTTCAAGTCGGAGCGGGAGATCATGGAGACGAGGTTGAAGTCCTTGTCGACGATGGGCAGCTTGCCCTTCTTAGACTTGGCGAGGATCTTGTTGGCCTCGACAAGGTCGATGCCGGAGGGGGCGGTGATCAGGTCAGTGACCATGACGTTGGCGATGGACTGGTTGGAGTCCTCCTCGAACTGGATGTCACGGTTGGTGACGATGCCGAGCAGCTTGGAGCCAAGCTTGCCGTTCTCTGTTCACGGTGGTTAGCCATAGCTCGCCAACAGACGTGGACACATTCTCTCTGGTAGAAGGAGCTGGGATCATAGTAAAGTGTCTCCGCAGGACGACATGGTCGTCTTTTGGTGGAACGAAAGTTATAATTGAAAAGGTTTGTAATCATGTAGAGCTGGGGGTAGGAAGAATTTTGCGAGGGAAATACTGACCAGTGACGGGGAAACCACCGAAACCCCACTTCTCCTTGAGAGCCTTCGCCTCGCCGACAGTGGT